CCTATTTCTGATTTTTCCTCTGCAAAAAAAGAAAACTTTTTATAGTAAGAAATCACATTTTATAAGCGGATTGGAACTGTTCAGCCATTATCCTTTGTAAATCTGACGGTTAAAATTTATTATCAAATAAAAAATAAGAGTAAGAGAATAATTTCAGTTGAAACTTATGGCACAGATTAGGTATCCTATAAGTATACAGATAAAAATCTTGTCCCTAATTCGTGGTACGAAAATTGATTTTTATGACGATGTGCAAACGAGTCAAATTTCCTGTGCGCAAAAATAAACTCGCGTAAAATAACAATAAACAGCGTAATAGGGAGATATCGCTAAACCGAATAGCGTGCATGGACGTTAATAAGGCCAGGTGTTATTTCCTTTACGTGAGGTGGTATTAACTCTCTTCATTTATAGTTATCGGATCGGAAAGAGTTCTGTTCGCGTCGCGTCCGCTATTTAAACTTAACCTAACTTTGAATTTAAAACTTTGACATTGTTTTGTTTACTAGGTATTTTAAAACTAAAGTGCTTATTTCCAGTGCTTTATTGTTCAACGTCTGCCAGTGGGTTTAGGGCAACAAGCAACAAACAACAAATTCTCTTAGAAGGGCTAAGTCGTCATCTGCTGTAAACCTATGACTCTTTATAGGTTCTTTAGTATTGGAAGAGGTGGAATCCATATTTTGGCCTATATTTATTTAACTAAAACTAATCCCAGCTACTTAAATATCAAATTACCTAATAAAACTAAAGCAATAATTCAAAACAATTCAAACATAACCTAAAATAAAAGATATCGCCGGCCGGCTCCGGTTGTCAAATACCCGCACATGCCCATTTAAGCAATTTTTAAACGTTATCAGAGGTTATTTAGAAAGAGCGCTTGGTGTAATTGATCCGCAAATTACGTCAGGCGGTAACGTTATTAGCGGGTGTTGCGTTAAAAATTGACTCGCGCATATTGTAACCATGATAAGGTACGCGTAAATACTGGATGACGCTATTCGGTTTTCCGATATCTCTCTAATAACTGTGCCGGTCAGGCGCTGTGCACAATTTTAGAGGCCATAAGTGGGCGTGCTATGTGCGCAAACTAGTCACCTAACTAGTGCCCGATTCCGAAAATTGGAACCACGAAAAGCAATAAAGAAAAAACAAAGATTATAATCTGTATAATCTGTGCTTATGGTTTAGGAAAAAAAATGTGTCTCAGAAATAATTACCTAGTTTTTGTCCACAGTTTTTTTTATTAAAAACCTTTTTATATATTTACAGGGTGTCAAAAAATATACCACATTTTAATGTGGATGATTCTACAAATAAAAATAAAACAAAAAGTTTCTATGAATAAGCACGAATAAGTTTTAGCTTTTTATGTGTCATTTGTTAAAATTAGTGTATCTATTATGGTATATAAAAATAGTACCACAGTACTACCCTCTACCTAATATATAGTACCCTTTTAGAACTGTTACGAATTTTTATACAACCGCCATCTGCTGTGGCAATAAAATGTCTGTGACAATACCACATTTCATGGAACGGTTTACCAATGTATTTAAAAATAAACAAAATATATTATATTTATTTACCATTTATAGGGCTGTCAGTTTCGGGAAGCGTCTTAGTTCATATTATGTTCATAGAATGTTGTAAAAATGTTAAAGAAGCACAAAATTTATTTAGTTCAATGCTACGGAAAGGGTGATAACAGTTATCGAAAAGTGTTTGTCGAAAAAAACTAAACCAAACCAAACACCAGTAAAAATATGATGTTAATCAAAATCAAAAAAATAAGACAACGGTCTAGCTACGTTGAAACACCGGTTCCCATTAGAACAACGAAGTTAAGCGACGTAAGGCGATACTGGTGGATGGACGGGTGACCGGTTCGAAACTCTGTCTCGTGCTGTTGTCCAAGGGAAAAATTTAAATCTATTGATACACACTGCTCATTCACGCCGGTTCGAGGCCGAATGAGATTGGATATCTCGTGAGTAAGAGTTAATTTAGACACTTCCTAAGTCGGTAGGCCACTGACCATGATATGGCCGAGGACCGCGGTTCGGATTCCGCGTAAACAAAGTAGGCCCCGTCCAGATTAGCCCAGGCAGCAAAAAGGAGACGTTAACTGAAATCTTTACTTTTTACTTTCAAAAATATATACCAATCAAAATTAATATAAACCATCTATCAAAAAATTAATTATATTACCATATAGAAAAGGGTTTCGATTTTTAGAAAATGCGTTTTTTAAAAACTCAACCATATCTTTATGTTTTTTTTTTAATTTTCTCTAAAACGGTATGGAACTTTGAAAAAGAATAAACGGGTTGAATAATTTTAGAACAAGCACAATTTTTTATGAAGAATACATTTTTCTCAAGATGTTACGAATAAAAAAAGTTTTCTTTTTGTAAAAGCAATCCGGGACATATTGTATATGACTGATAATAATTAGATATGTACGAATACTGAGTGATGAAAATAATTCATTATGTTGAAAAAATGCAAGTTCCTAAATGACGTAAAATAAATTATAGAAGTACAAAATAAGTATTTTAATTTTTCCGGTCCCCCAATAAACTTTTTACGCGTTTTTCATTTTATCGTTTCCAAAAATTATTTTCCGTCATTCAATTTCCTTTAGCCGGTCTGCAACAATCAGAAATAAAGGATCTTTGGTGCAGTAACTACTATTTACCATGACTGGAAAATATATATAGAGCCATATTTTTCCCGTTACTGGAAATAGGAAAATTCCAGTTAGAGTTAATGAAATTTTGCGGTCCTAGGAATTCGCTCAAACAGAGATTTCGTTCCAACAACGACACCGAAAATAATTTCGTCTATTACTTAAGAAATAATTCGATTGTTTAACAGAATTAGTTTCTTTGTTTAGTAAAGTAACGATAAATTAACTTTTTAACATCGAAATTTTTTTGGTTTTAGAAAAATAAAAGAAGATATAGTGTAGTATATAGTTGATATCAAATAAACTTTTAGTCACGTCATTAAGCTTGACCAGCACAGCGTTGCCCTCTTTTACACATTTTCTTCTAATCAAAATATTTTAGGAAACAAAAATAAATTATTTTTAAATATACAGGGTGACCCAGGCTGAGCGTGCATTAGAAGATTCTAGAGAACCACAATATCTAGATCGGTGATTTTTTGCTTATCATTGTTTCACAACGAGATCTATCTAGTAGAAATATTTTCAATATGGCGGCACTTCCGGAAATAACGAAAGTTGACAGCAATTTTCTTATATTAAATGGCCTTCATTTTTTATTACATACTTAAATTTTCTGTAAAATTTTATGAATGTTGATATTAAACACTCTATACATTACATTAACCGTTTTTGAAAAAAAAAATATTTAAAATTTTTGGACGAAAAAAATTGCCTGTCAAAAATATGTGAATAGCCTAAACGTCAAAATTAGTGGTTACCACAGCCACTGTGTCATGAAGAGAAGACATGTGGCTATCTGTTTCAAAAATTAAATTGTTCGAATGTCATATAGTAATAACGTTAGCTATCATGGAACTGAGCGATTAAAAAATTATCATAAATCATTTTTTTTTCAAATGGAAACCCACTTTCTATTTCACTAATGAAAAGGTTTTCCAATTCGTTACTTTTATACATGTTTCTATACCTAAAATAAATCGTTTTTAAGTTATCTTATTTAGATTGAAAACGTATATTTTTCTAGATTTTATCTAGATTCCTTTGACAGTAAGTGTTAAAACTAAATTTTAAATATTTATTAAAAATAAATAATTAAATGATTATTAGGAGTAAAAATGATACTTTTGGCGAAGCTGTAAGTTTGACATACCGGCGAGGGCACAAAAAGTCATTTTCACTCCGAATAGAACATGCTATTTATTTTCGTCACAAATCTTTTTTAAGCAATTTCAAACCTTCCAAATAATATAAAAATATTTAAAAGTAATAACTTGTAAGTAATTATACATCGAGAAACTATGGTTACACTCGTTGAATTTGACATCTAATATCAGATAATTCATATATTTTCCTACTTTTGTATTTACTTTTGTGCTTAGGTGTGTAAAAATTACTTTTTTATATTGTCAATCACGGCGCAAAAATAAATACTTATGTGACTTTTGAAAAAAAACGTAATTAATTTTTTTTTATAGATGTATTGATGAGGACAAGCAAAGGTTTGCTAAATTTGCTTTAAATTATTACACTTTTTTTAATTTCTAAACTAATTATTATACTTCTAAATCGAGAAAAGATACACTTTGATAATAGAGTGGTTTTTAAATTTCCTAAACTTTACTAAACCAGTCAGGGTTTTAAACCAACAGGGTGTTTCAAACATTCCCCAAATATCAATATTTTGATTTTCCTCGTATATAATAATGAGGACTTCGTATAATAGGCAGAAAAAGGCAAAAACTTTAATAATTTAGTTACAGATTGCTTAAAAAATCATCAAAATCGGTCCACTAGAACAAACAATCGAAAAAAAAAAACGTCAAAGACGGCTGGGAAATAACAATCAATAATGGTTTTGGCGAGGTCAAGCCCTAAACGTCATTATTTGGAACGCATTCTTCTTTATTTCGGAATGGCTCTTACTGCCAGTTGACCTTAAGAAGGTTGTAACTTTCTGTAATTTTTATATTGAGTAAAAATGATGTTTTAAATGGTGTAGTTTAAAATTCTTTTTAAAAATATTTTTTTTGGAAATAGACATGTGTGTCTGGAAACATTCTATCCTATTTTAGTTTTTCTATAATTAGTGTTAATTTGTGACAAGTTTTATGTCAATTTTTAATAAATTATTTCTAAAGAACGATCTCGCGAAAATTATCATCGATTGACATTCCCAGTCTTTGACGGCGTTTTTTTTTCGATCATATGGTATATTGGACTTTGAAACCAAAATATAGTAAATTGTATAACTTCTGTTGAGCGACTTAGATTATTTTAAATGTACAACGTGATACTTATTTACCTGATTACAGAGTGAATACATTGTTTCAATGTATTAATGTATATAAAACAAACACGACAAAATAAATTGACTAGACCACACAATTAATTGTAAATAACGACGAACTATTGACAAAAATACTAATTAAAATTATGTACAAAACAAAAATCTACATATATGAGAATATGTATAGTTAACAAACAACACTAAGCAGAGTATATAGTAAAATCTATCATCCCGAGAATTGTTTTTTACATCCATAAATATTTTTTGTTTAGTTTTATATCCTTATAACTGGGGGGGGGGAGATATGTGAATTGGTATTAATATTATTTTGGCTATGTAGCAAAATTACACTTTTCTTTTATATTTGTTATTTTGGATTAATTCAGGGGCCTATATACGGAGAGTAATAGGGGGAATTACTCCTTCCAGGTAAGAAATTTATGAATAAGATAAAATGTACGTAGCCAATCTTGAAGATATTGATGTCAATTTGGTAGAGCACATGTAAGAAAGAAAAGAGATAATTTCTGTAAAGCCAAAAATTAATGATTAGTAAAATTATTTCGTTTATTTTTAAAAATTAAAGGATATGGATGCGGATCCACGTGCTCTGACCTTGTCTAAGATGCACATTCTTACGAATTGTCACGTATACTTGATCTTCTCTTTAAGTATATTTACATATATACAGGGTGGTCCGAACTGTATTCCGGAAACTTCGGCAGTTGACGAAATAAATTAAAATTAAAATAAATAAACAAATTCATATAAATGTATGTTCTAAAATGCTTAGTTTCGAAGATACAGGATGTAGAAGTTTCATTTTTATTTCGATTTTTTCCAAATAATTTCATAAGTAACGTCAATATTTGGACGAAAATTGGTGTCTGGAAGTTTTTTGACATGTGAAAATTGATTTTGCTGTCAAGATGACTCCTATTTGTAGGGGGCGCCACCTACATGTGTTTTAACTGTTTTTTTTTTACTTTAAGAGTAATAATTTTTCATCCGTACCTGTATAAAACTACTGAATAAAAAATATACCTACATTTCCGTGATTTTTTACGTAAAATATACCTCTTGGTAAAAATCGCCACGAGCAACCGTTCTCAAGATATTATTTAGAATGGAAATAGTCAATACATGTCATTATTGACAAAAAATAAACACGTTTTGTAGATAGTTATTTGACTGAAATAATAAATTTGGGATTTTTTTTTTTAATTGATCATCAATTTTTCTAAGAAAAAATGATGATAAAACAGTTTCCGTTGAACGTTTAACGCAAAAATATTTCAAATTTATGATTTCAGTCTAATAACTACTTAGTCAATATGTTTAATTTATGCCAATATGATGACAGGTATTGATAATTTCGATTCCAAATATCTTGAGAACCATTAATCCTAGCGATTTTTACCAAGAGACCTTTTTTACGTAAAAAAAACGTCGTAAATGTATATTTTTTACTCAGTAGCTTTGTACAGGTACGGACAAAAAGTTATTACTTTTCAAAACCAGTTAAAAAATATATGGGTGGCGTCCTTTACAATAAGAGTTATATTGAAATCAAAATCAAATATCTCATGTCAAAAAACTCCTAGACACCAATTTTCATCCAAATATTGACGTTACATCATAAAATATTTGGAAAAAATCGAAATAAAAATGAAACTTCTACACCCTGTTTCCCCGAAACTAACATTTTAGGACGTACATTTATACGATTTTTTTTACTTATTTTTAGTTGCAGAATAGATTGCCGAAGTTTCCGGAATACAGTTCGGATAATCCTGTATATTAAAATATTTAAACATTAATATTGTTGTCAAAACATTTTTAAATATTTTATTGCACGCAAAATGGAGGTTTTGGAGCCTCATTTCGGAGATTTCTCATTCTGGTGTCTCTATCTTCTTTTTCACTTGTAAATAATTAAACTCTGGAGAGTTATTTGCGTGTGTCCTTTTTACACCTTTTAATCTGCTCCGCTGGATTTATTGCGACAGAAGGACTAAACTGGAAAGATTTTTTCATTAGTCGTTATAAATTATAAAAAAAGCTGGTGGGGATTTAGTATATAGTCCATAAATCTTTCCTTTTTATTTTTATAATTAATGAATTCGGATTTTTTAAGAATTTAGTAGATTTTAAATACTTTCTATATGCGAAGAGAGAAACAATAAAAGAAATTTTAACATTAAAAAAATGAACAGTATACTTTACTTTAATATTCAGTATGGTACTTCTTCTACAGCATGTCCCCAGATTGTCTTTATAAGAGGGAGAGAGAGAACTTTTTTATTATTGACATTTTGAGAAATTTACATTCTTCATAAAACATGTTGCTTGTTCGAAAATGGTTAATCCCGTTTATACTTTTCAAAATTTCCATACCGTTATAGAGAAAATTTTAAATAACATGAAAATATTATTGAATTTTCTAAAAATCAAAGGGCGTTTCTATGGTAATATCAATTCGATTTCGTTCTTTGATAGATTATTATTAATTTTAGTTATTATTAATTTTGATTAACGTCATGTTTTTTTGCTGTCAGCCTGTCCATAGCATTGAACTAAATAAATTTTGTGCTTGTTTAACATTATAAAACAGCAAAAAATATGACTTATTAAATATATTATAATTCTATCAATAACAATCTATCAAAGAATGTAAACGAAATTATATTCGATAGAAAGGCGTTTTGATTTTTAGGACTATGAAAAAATTCAACTAAATTATCAATTTCTTTTTTAATGTTCTCTAAAACGGTATTGAAATTTGAAAAGGTATAAATGAAACTAAACATTTTAGACCAAGCATAATTTTTATAAATAATGCACTTTTCTCAGAATGTCAATAATAAAAAAGGTTTTCCTCTTGTAAAAGACAATCAGGGGATTTACTGTAGTATGGTACTACGTATATAAAAATTGGTTGTTTACAAATATCTTCTTTATTTTTTATCTTTATTTGGAGATTTCGAAATTAATGATGTAGGGTCCTCTAATTTTTTCATAATATCATCGTCTTTTCTATTGAATCATCTATCTCGAATATACTGTGAATTTTTATAAGGGTTACCCTGTATAAAAATTAATGATTTCCGAAAAAATGTTGATGTATGTTCCACTCCCAAAATGTGCGTTTTATATAAAATTAAAATATCAAAAAACTGTTAAACTTAAGTGAAGGACTGATTTTCTTTTGATCTGAACTTATTCAGAATTTCATATACAGGGTGGTCCGAATTATTATCAGGAAACTTCGGCAACACATATTCTGCAGATAAAATTAAGTTAAAATGTTCGTATAAGTTTATGTCATAAAATGCTTCATTTTGGAGATACAGGGTGAATAAATTTAATTTTTATTTAGAACTCTTCCAAATTTCTGAAATAACATCGATATTTGGATAGAAATAGGTGTCTGGGTGTTTTTTTTACATGAGAAATTTAATTTCGATGTTGATGTGACGCCTACTTGTAGGGGTAGCTACTTACATGTTTTTTAACTCTTCTGATAAGTGATAAGTAATAACTTTTCGTCCGTACTTATGCAGGGTGAGTCTTAAATAACTGCAAATATTTTCAGGGGTGGTACATATATTTCGACCCCAGGAACACGTCTACAATTTTTTTTCGAAAAAAAAGATTTTGAAAATCGTGCATTTTCTTTTAAATTTCCCTGTATATTTTTCGAAAACTTTTTAGAACTGCCTGTTCACCGCAAATTTTCCCACGGTCGGTATAATTTCTTAATCTCTGATATTACCATAGTTACGGCTTTACTCTATGGTTACGGCACTGAAACGGATGCAAATACAGAAAAAATCCGGTGGCTCTCAAAATTTTCAAACTAAAATAACTCAGTTATTTTGGACTTATCTGAAAAATGGTTCAGTATGGTAAAAAGAAAATATGTTTCTTTTATCGAGATCTCTCAGCCATGAAAATATTTGCACTTATTTAAGACTCACCCTGTATTATATTATCAAAAAATATATAAATATATGTCCGGTTTATTGCGCAAAAAAGACTTATGGTAAAAATAACTGCGAGACCATGGAATCGAAATAATGAATACATGTCATCGTTAACAAAAAATAAACATGTTGACTAAATAGTTATTAGAATGAAATGGTAAGTTTGGAAATTATTTTTTTGCCAAATAATGTTCAACATAAACTGTTTTATCATATTTTTTTCTAGAAAAAAATTAAATTGAAAGAAGTAATTTTAAAATTAATCATTTAAATAAAATTATTAATTTTAAAATAAATTTAAATAAAATGTTAGTATCACGTGGCTGAAGTTTCGTACACTATTTCTTACACCCTGTATAAATAGTAATAATAGATGTCGGAGATTGTTCAACTCGTTCATTTGTATTTCTCTGTGCACGCATTCCCATTTATATTATACGAATTTAACTGACCACTTTCCATATTCGAATGGGAAAACTGCTGTGGAGTTCGATTTCCCAATGATCCTGATCTATTTCGGTCGAAAATGAAACAGACACGGGCTACGTGGATTCATTTGCATGCTTTTTTCGTACATTCGGATTGTCCGAATCGGAAAAACAAATTGGAAAAAAGGTCGGCCTTGGAAAGTATTTTTCTTCAAAAAATAGGAAAAACAGCCAAAATAAATATTTAAAATTGCTCTACCTCATTTCGGCCTTCCAACGACCTTGCCCTATTCCATATTCCTATAACGCCGGCTAAACTATCGACGTGTTGACAGGCAGGTTATCGAACCCACGCGGCTCTAGCATGTCGTTTTTTCAAAGATGGGTCCCATATAAACGCGGCCAGAAGTATTTTCAATACTAAAATTGTATTTTAAATTTCATTCTAGAGAACCACGACGGCTATGTTAAAGACACTATTTTTTAATCAAGGAGCTTTGAGTCAATATTTTTTAATTCTCTTTCGTGTCGATTGCTGATTGAATTGGAGCCAGAAATGGCTTAAAACGAAATAAGTCAATTTCCAACAGATATTCAGGCTGAGGCGATAAACGCCATATCCAAACTACTTCCATTTAAATCCCGAATAACTTATGAAAAGGAATACAAAAATTTTCAAAAATGGAAGCAATTAAAAAACGTGCGAGAAGAAATAAAGTTCTTCACCTATCCTCGCTGTTAAAGTATCATTTAATCTACCCTTGCGGTTAAAGTACTATTTTATCTATTATTTTTGATAG